TCAGAAGGTGGCGACTCATATAGAGTGTAAGAAGCCCAGTTGAGGTAATCTCTGCCACCCTCTTTTGTTTCTTTCATATTTATTTATTATATCCTTTAATCCCAAACATAGTTTGTGTTTTTTCTTTGTTATTGAAAGAAAGATTTTGAATGGCTTCAAGTTCTTGAGATCTTATTATATTCTTTTCATTTCTTTTATTTGAAGTTATTATATGGACTACTTGTGAGTGATCTAGGTCACGAAGAAAAGAAAAAGAATTTAAAAAGGAAAAAATTATTATATACCACCAGCTCGATCATATGAGTCATTCTTTCAGATATTAATAGCTTTATAGAGAGAGAAAAGCAATAAAAAGGTGATGGAGCAAGATAGCTTCATAATAGATGATTATGGTATCCCTTACAAGACTATGGATGCACACATGGGCTCAAGGAACCTTTAAATGCTTAGTGAGAGAGAGGGTGAACAAAGATGGTGAGAGAGAATGAGAATTACATCATACCAAACTCCTCAAACCCTTCCTCAATGTATGCGGCCCCTTTGCTTCAACGGCTAGCAGAAAAAAAGAGTGGAGGGGCCTTTGGAAATGTAAAAAAATATAGGCCAAGTGACAATTGGGTTATTTTGATGATTAAATAAAAATTAATTAAAATAGTAATTTAATTTCAAAACTACCCCTAACGTCATGGAGAAAACCCACGGTTAACAACTACATATAAATGGAAAAAAATTATATAAGAGTGATGGCCTAAACAATCAAATGACGGCACACATAAAAATTTCACTAGAAGAGCTTGTTTCGAAGCCCAAAAATTATCAAATCGATCATCTTGATGTCAAGATGTTTGGACATGAGAAAAAATAGATTTTAAGCAAGGAATTAGTGCCTCTTATAATGTATTTGTTGGACGATCAATTTTTTAGATTTTCAAGTGCTCATACGTCTGGTCAATCTATACTACTTCTAAAGCTTTAAATTTTATAATTAGAGATAAAAATTTATTTTCAAGTCATCCCAAAGATTTCTAATAATGAAATAACATCTTTCAACACTATATGAAGGTACGCCTTGATTGTTTAGAACGTCAGCCTTATACAAGCCGCACCCAATATAAATATTTATAAGAACGAGTTAAGATATTTAACGAAATAAAAGAAAATTATAATACGACCATTCAGTTGCTAAATTATTTTATTTAGCTACTTACTTCTTTTTTTTAAGTACTTTGACCTCTTTAGTGATATTCTTTATAGAGTCATTGTCTTCCTTTTGAAATGCCAGAGGTATAGGGTGAGGTATCAGCTGCCGTAGAACCGTTAAGCACAATAACATGATTTTTTACTTTGAAGGATATTTCAAGGGATTATTTATAAAGAGATTATTTATCTTTTGTATATGAAGGTTACAAGCTTTCTCACTCATTAGATGTCAATTGGATGTCTCGGGGTGAGTCACAAAATCTAAGAAATTTGTTTTTGGAACTTTGTATCCAATCAATGACATTCTTACAACCACTTACTTTGAGATTTAAGGGCCAATAATGATTGTGATCTCAATGTACAAATGATATATCATCTCTTTATAAATGTTCCCGTCATGTTTTAATATAGATAATATATTCAATAGAAATTTGATCCATTACCGCTGCAAGGTAAAAAAGTTGGATATTTGGCAGAATACTTAATGAATGCAGATATTGTGCTCCCGCATAAGTAATATTGCATATTGACACCCTTGGTCAAACACCTGGTTAGATTGCTTTTTTTAGTCTAAAACTTTGGGTATCATATAACAATTACTAGATAATCATTTTTAAAAAAAATAAATTGAAATTTGAGTTTTGTGGCACTTAGATCTAGCCTTTCAAATTTGGATGGTTTCTTTTCAATCTTGAAACATTAGTTTTTTCTATTACATGGAGCTTTTTTGTTTTTTTGTTTTTAGCTGAAGTTGTTCTATGGGTTATAGAGATTACATCCCAAAGCTTGAGATCTAAAAAGTATCTTAGCATGTGGTTTGCCCTAGATAGAAAGTGGATCCCATAAACCCTAGGGAGAGTTAATCTTTTTAGAATACTTAATTCTCTTTAATAGCAATGGGACCACAGGAAAAACATAAACCCAAGTAGAAAATAATTAAATAATTTATTTAGATGTTTATTTCTTTGTTTCCCTTCAAACAAAGTAGCCTATACTTTTTCAAAAAGTTTTCATTAGGGTATTTTTCAAACTTTTAAGTCAAAGTAGGGCTTAAGGAAAATCTTAACCTACTTTAAACTGGGATGAGCTTTTCTATAGCTTTCCAAATGGGAAATCCCCTTAGACCTTAGCCCTTAGCCCTTAGCCCTTCGCCCATTCAGCTTGCAAAAGAGAACGACTTGAAGTTTGTTTGGGTGGTACCAATTGTGCTTCTGGATCTTACATACACACAGGCATACACCTTAAGCATACACTTGGCACTGAGGTCTAGGTTTGAGCAAAAATCTATTAACTTTGCTCAATTTCTAAACATGATTCCCAGAGGAGAACTTTCCAAACCAGTGCTTTAAAACTTGGTGGTCTAGATTGGGAATCGCCGATCAAGACCAGGAACCAATCTGGACCGAATTGATTCTGGAAAGGTATTTGTCCTAGCCCGGTTAGCCTTCCCCGCCACTCTTGTTATTTTCCTTTTTTTCTAATAGTTTTTAGGGGCCCCTTAAATCGCACTCCAAAAAACCTTATTTTAATTTTTATTTTATTTTATTTTTTAATATTTTTCTACATTGTCATTTTAGACTGGTCTGGATCACCCATCTAGTGATCAGGCCCTAATATGTGGGCTGGACGTTCTATACCACCTATCCGAGTTTTGAAATACTATTATCAGTTGTTAACCATGTTCATGTAGAAGTCGAATTACTTTTAATCATAATCAAAACTTAATGGAAAAATTTTATATAAAGTTTAGGCCTTGAACAATCAAAACTAAAACGCACCTCAAAAATTCATTAAAAAAAGTTCTTTTGATGTTAAAAAACCCTCAAATCCGATCATCTCGACCTTAAGATATATGAATATAAAAAATAAAATCAGTAAAAAAAAAAAAAAAAATTGAACTTCAAGTCTTGGAAATAATGCATCTTGTAATGCATTATCTAAAGCATCAATTTTCGAAATTTTCATGTGTTCATAGATTTGTTTGATCTGTACTATTTTTTAAGCTTTAAATGTTTCTAATTAGTTATAAAAATAAATTTCAGTTTATCATAAAAATTTTCAGTACTAAAATGACAACTTTTGATTATATTTAAAAATTCGCCTTACTTTGATTGTTTAGGGTCTCAGCTTAATACAAACCACACGCAAACTTAATTGAGAGAGAACAACCTTTCACTCCAATTTTACTCTCTTTGCATCCAAGAGCGTTGCCCATGTGTCCCACATGAGTCACTCTCATGACGATATAGAACAAGATTACAAAACAATCTCAATTTTTCAACAACACTCATTTTTTAGTGCAATTATCCAACACCTCTATAAATACCCATATTTAATTTATTGACCCTAGCTGAGTCTATTTAAGGGCAAATGAACACAAGAAATTGTGTTTTTTGTAGCTTTTCTTTCCTTGTTTTCCTTTTTTTCTCTTTTTGTGTGTCGAAAGAGTGCAAATCGGAGAAGTTTATAGAGCATTTCATTTGGGTTGGTTGGATCATAGAGCTCTTTCATTGGATTCTCCATGTTAGAGGTATTAATACCTCGAACCAGTGTTTAGAAAATCGATTCAGCTAAGGTACTCAGCCTTTCTTCGAACTTGTTTGAGTACAATTGAAGTTAAAAAAAAAAAACACAAAAATAAATTTATATACATTAGAGCCTTCATTTTTATGAGATTGAGCATTAAATAATTTGATGGTCGGGTCCTCCACCCTCGGGGTTTCTCCATGCAGGATGATTTGGGTAGTACAGTAGTAGACATATACTTTTGTTGCCGAAGAAATTTTGGTGACATGTTGGTTAAAGTGGTATTATCTTAAAATACCCCTTTGTAAGAAGTCTTAGGTTCCAATGCTCTTAAAAATTAGTACATTATTATATATAACCTATTAATAATGCATGTACTCGGGACAAATGCCCATAGGGCGAGGCCGAATTACTTGGCGGAGTCCGCATAGTACCGGCTGAGTTTCGAAACACTGCCTCGAACAAAGCGAGCACATATCGTGCCTTCATGTGCAATACTCGAAACATTGCCTCGAACAACATGAACACATCTCGTGCCTTCATGTGCAATAGTTGAAGCAAAGGGCTTGGTTGATTATTGGCAAAGTTTGAGATTTCTTTTTTGAATACTTCATTTCCTTTTGGAACTGGGGATTTGCTAATTTGTTGTTTGATAGTTCAGACTTCAGAATATATAGGAGCATTAAGCTTTGTTTAGAACTCTTCGGTATTGACCTCAGTTATGTCTATTTTGACCATGGTCATGCAGTTTCAGACCTTGTTGATGCATTCTAGACCTTGACTATACTTTTCAATCTCAGTTATATTTTTCAACCATAGTTTTACGGTTTTCACAGTGGTTGTTCGGTTTTGAACTCGATAAAAGCATACCTGCGCCAGAAAAATGGAGTTATTATGGTTTTTTAGGACCCAAACCTAACAAGAGCATCATTGTGAGAGCGATTCAAGTCTTGTTGTGAGAGTGATTCAAGTCTTACAGACCTAAACATTTTAATTCTAAGAAGCAAATACAAGCTAGGAAGCCCAGTAATCCATCAACCATTACAGTGCCACAAGCTTATAAAAAAATAGTTCAATTGTAAATTACATTCCACATTATAACTGAAATACCTTATATGCAGCTGGTAGGATCCAACCTATTTTTGAAATAAACAACTCACATACACTCTTTTTCCAAAAAAAATCAACACACCAAGCACCACACTTAGATGTATTGGATTTGTTGCAAAAATATAGGTATTAAATCTGAAACTTCCAGCAGATGGCCAGTGGCCCAAAGAAACGAACGAGTCGGTTACATTTTTCATATGCTCTCCTCTTCTAGATAGGACTAACAAAATCAAACAGAGTTCTTTTTATATCACTTCACCCCATATCTTATTTTTATTTAACTTAAGTTCTTGCTATATATGCGGATGCAACTACACAAACACTCTTGCTAATTGAGCTGGCTGCACTGGTTTCGTATCTGTCCTTGTTTTCCTGTAGGAACACCCACGGTTGAAAGCTTAACAAAAGCTGAAGAGAAGGTGAAGAAGAAGTAGTCACTGTCTCTAGAGAACCTGTCAACAATTGGAGCCGTTCGAGGGTCTGTAGATATGCTTGAATCGATGCTCAATAAGCCTCTACCCGCCTTGAGGTCCTTATAGTAATGATTGTCGAATACGAAAGGCGTAAGATCATTAGGAATGAAGGTTAGGTTTGTTAAGGGAGCCATTGTCGGGCAATTCAGTCGTAGATATATTCCAAAAGCCCCTAGTTTCTCGCTCTCATAAGACGGATACAACCGATTCACAACATTTATGCAGTGGCTCACTCCCAGTGTATGCCCACCTGCAAAAATCCTTAATTTCACCATCACCATTGCAATTACCATGATTAATCAATATTGTTATCTGTATAACATGATAGCCTTTACCAGAGCAACACCATGCTTCATGCATCCCGAACCGTAAGTTGTTACTGCAGTTGCTTAATGATGCATTTAACATGTAGCAATGAGGTAAGGCTTTTCATGTTAGTAATTCTCCATTACTGTAATATTGCTTCTTCTTTTTTTTTTTACCTAGAATGGCGATTGCTTCATCCATTGTCATCCCTTTGCTCATGAAAATGCGAAGCATGTTGTCTACACTAACCGTAGATGAAGGAATATAGGTGTCAGCTCTTCGATTGCTTGCAGTGGTGGAATCCCTCCTACCCAGTGGAACTCGAATCCGCGGTCCTCCAGCGAAGGCCACCGATTCTCTAGCAGCCAGAATTATGAGATCAGCGCAAGAGACCTGAGTAGGACACTCGGCCTCCACCACTCTCTTCACCATGTCGATGGCTTCTCTCCTCCTTATGCCGAAGTTTCTTCCGGAAAGCATCTCAGAGCTTATGCTTTCGCCATTCGAATCCAACAGTATGGAGGCATCACAACCCTGTAAACTCTTTATAATCAATCTAACACTTCATGAATTTGTGGGAAGGAAAGTAGTATACTATGATCATAAGGACTACGAAAATTGCATGAAAATGACCAGTGATTATAGAGAGTGAGTGTGATCCACTGGAAAAAGACATGATAGATGCTAATTGTGGGCTCTTCATCACCTTTCACTAGTTAGGTGGACTCTGATGACCTTAAAGACACATTAGTTTTAGCGGAAAAGAACTTGTGAAAGTTCGTTTGCGCTAGACTACTGTTTCCCCACGTTTGTTATGGGAAAGTGGGTGTTGCTTAGAAGCAACGAAAGTGCTTCTCAAACTTTCCTCACTTTTAGTGGAAAAGCAGCGTTTTATCTATTTAAGTGTGAAGCGCTTTTTCAGGCTAATAGGAAAGCTCTCTCAATGAACAAACTTTGCGAGAGCCCTTTCAAGTGAAATAAACTTGCCTTAAGGATCTGTCTATATGTAGTAGTTTTAAGGAGCATTGTACCTTCCCAGAATAAAAGGAGTAATAATAGTCATGAAAAGTGCAAATGAGAGAGAGAGAAGCACGGACTTTGGGAAAGGGGCTAAGTCTTGATGGTAGCATCCCCCATCTTAGTCACAACGTTGTGTTTTCATTCTCACTAACACTACCTTACGAACAACTTAAAAAAAAACTCATTCTTAAACTATTTGAAAAAACGGGTAAAGGCCACCCTACAAATACCTTCCAAACAACTTAACTATTAAACTTTTTAAAAAAAAAGTAGCGACCCGTCTTCTCCACTGAATTACCAAAAAAAAAAAAAATAGCCGCGAAAATTGCAAATCAAAGAGAGTGAATACCTGAACTTGGCAATCATGGAACATGAGCCTTAAGAATGCAGAGGGAGAGGTGGGATCAGTTAGGAAGATAGGCATGAGTGTTTTTGCTACCAGGCTCTCTAGATGGGGGCATGAGTTGTGGTAGTGATCATATGAAAGGTTGGCCAAGGTTACATCCATAAAGCCAACAGTTGAGAGGCAAATGAGCAGTGGAAAGAGAGTGAGAGTGAGAGTGGTCATTTGAGGAGAAGAAAGAGAAAGAATGAGATTGAGAAAGGGGTGAACTCTTGTTGGGGATGATGGATTATAAAGTGAGAGGGGTGTGTCTAAATTTATTAGTATGGAGAGTGAAAGAAGAGAAGAGTGAAGTAGAGTGAGAAAGAGGGTTCTTTTTTTTTCATAGAGGGTGGATTCATGATTGGGTGGAGAAATATATTGGAATGGATTGGACAAAGGTCATAGGTCACAGCTGTTGCATGAGTCCATCACACATCACTTCATTTCCCCCACTTCCCACCGCCATATAAACCCTAGAGAGAGAGAGAGAGAGAGAGGGGCGTTCAGTCCTTCTTCATCCACAGTATTGATAGTGTAACAGTGGGTCCCACAAATATCATCTGTGACCTCTAGCATTTAGGCATTAGACCAGTTGGTTTTTTTTTTTTCTTTTTTAATTAATGACTGTTAATTCCAAAAGGACACAAAAAAAAAAGTACTAAAATACCCAATGAGTCAATTTTAGATTAAAATTATACTGAAGATCAATCAACACCAGGTTTTTTTTTTTTTTTTTTTCAAAATTTCTCTTTGATATGAGGATACCGCATTTTAATTTTATTTTATTTTTGTAGTTTTTTCGATAGTAGGGACATGCTCTAATGTTTGGAGCAGTGCCCAGTCTGCCCGATGTTAACATCATTGAACCGCCTTTTGTGGTGCTTTTTAAAATGGTATGAGGTTGACATCCTCGGACCGCAACTAGCTTTGTTAAGCAATCAGAGGCAAACCGAAGCTGCCCACTCTCATATCGCCTTCTCTAGTACTATTCATGGTATTAGGTCATTTGTTTTATAAGAAATAAGGCAGTTTGAGGATGCCAACATCATACTGCCTTCTGGACTGGGCACAACCCCACTAGCGAAAAAACAAAAAATAAATAAACTTTAAAAACGGTTTGAGGATGTCTTTTTTGGACCAAAGAAAAATTTTGAGAAAAACCAAAAAAAAAAAGCATGTGTTGACCGACCTTCTACGTAATTTTCACCTAAATTTGGCCCATTTTGTATTTTTTTTTTCTTTTTTCTCTTATGTGAAATACTAAAAAAAAAAAATTGCTAGTTCGAACCAAAATGCTTTGTTAAAACAGAGGGTGATCTGGTTCTATAGAACCCCGGTAATTACCGGATTCTCTTTGGTCTTTCCTTTTTTACCTCTTGTTCTCTTTTTTTTTTTTCTATTTTGTCAAAGAATCGCCGGATTCGGACCAACTGAGTCAGAGTTGATCGGATCTTGGCGATCCGGTTCTTAAAGGTCCCAACTTATGGTGCCTAAAGATTTGGATACAGCTGCCATAGGAGCCTTTAAGGGGAGGTGAATCACAGGATATATGCATAGCCTCCATCAATGACAACTTTTTGCTTCGAGGCCAGAGAGATGCGACGGAGCCCAAGCGTGGCTTTCATCAATGATATGGGATTTCTCTCTAAAAAGTTGTTTGCTCATAGTGTATCATGTGCGTCTCATGTATGATATCACTATCTTACTACATGTTCAATTCCCAGTTTCTAGCATAGGTATGTTTAAAAAAACGGATCGGCGGCCCAGATCGGCCACCCCAAAAAGGTGGATCGGTATTCCGGAATGGAGAATAAACCGGTTTCATCTTAAAAAAAAAATCAAAAAAATACTATAATTTCTCTAACATCTAGTTTTTTAGGTTTTTAAAACAAAAAAGTGGCAATTGCATTGTAGTTTTTCATTATTGTGTCAAAAATATGTAAATACTGAGGGCCTGTTTCATGTTGAGTGTTTGTTGTCCACTAAATTCTTATTATAATTAAAATAAAATTTAAAATGCAACGTGACAATAAAATTAATCCCTCTAACTTAATTTCTTTATTTAATTATTGTATTAACTTAAGATTTTTACTTTTTGAAATAAGCTATTTGGAATATATTTAATGAAAGAGGTTGTTAATAGAGAGATACATAATTTTTGTTGAATCAAAGTACAAAGTCCAAAATAGTAGAACTCATTTAACATAATGGTGTTAACATGATTTTAATGTAATCATATTCACATAATTGTATTAACCTAAGTTTGACATAATTATATTAAGTTAATAGCATTAATAAACAACCATTTTATATAATTATATTAATTTTTATAAATTACATGTAATTTTATTTTTGTAATTATATACAATTAAAATTTAATTATATGTACTTTATTTTTTTTATAAATTATAAATAAATAAATACAATTTATCTAAAATAAATAAATAAATTTTCGTAGACCATTTAGACATTCTTTTGTAAGAGAGAGAGAGTGAGAGAGGAGGCTCAAAAACCATCCCACATCAAAGAAAAATGACCATTTAAAACTTGGAACCCCACATAATAATCATAACACCGACGTGTCTGGGAAGCTTCTTCATGCATGAAGTGTGTTTAGTGCAAGTGAGTGAATTAGGTGGGGTCCGCTGACACACTTTCAGCAATGAAGTTGAGCTATCCATTCATTTCTCAATTGTAAAAGAATTCTATAGAACCGGTAACTATGGAACCGAACCGGCCAATTTTATAAGGAAACGGGTGGATCTCGATATATTACATGATCTGGATGGTTAGATTTTAAAATCATTTTTTTTACGATAACCTTCTCAGCAGGGTTAGCAAACGCGATTAGTTAAACTGAAATGGGGTACTAGCCGATCCGATTATAGCAATTTTGGTGGTCCGACCAGGTTTTTTAAAAAAAATTTAAAAGGTATATAAAATTTAAAAAAATAAAGGATTTGTTTATAAGGTTTTTTTTTTTTTTTTTTTATCATTTTGACAAAGATTGGTAAGTGTTGTTTATAAGGTTTTTCTTTTTTTTTTTTTTTTATATATCATTTTGACAAAGATTGGTAAGTGTTTTAGCCATGAATATTTATTTTTACACTTTTCCATCTTTTTTTAGAAAATTTCAAAAATACCCTTGGGTACAAATTGATTTTTTAAAATCTATTTTTTTCACAAATTTTCAACTTCATTTGGATGTGCTTTGTTTAATCATACTTTAGTTTCGTATTTTTTAGATTTTTTTCTATTTTTTTATTTTTTGAAAATCTTTTTGGACAGGCCAGGACCTACACGATCAGGCGGGTTGAAACGACCAGTTTACCGGTTACTCAAAACCAGCCCATGGCCAATTTTCAAAAGCGATTTGATTTTTTGAACATTGCTTTCCAAGTTGTTAATGTGAAAATTGGTTTTAACCGGTGGTTTAAAAAACGGATCAGTGCCCTGGATCGGGTACCCAAAAAACCCATCCGGATTGGTGAATCCGTGATCAGGATCGAGAATCGACCGAATCGGTCAGATTAAGCTTTAAAAAAAATATAAAAAAATTATTAAAATTCATTATAAATGTTGTTTTTTAGGAATCCAATAAGAAATTGGGGTACTACATTATTAATTTTCATTTTTTTATTAATATGTGAATATTGAGATTTTTTTCCTTGCATGAATTTATTTTAACCATTAAATTTACATCATACAAAAGAAAAATCATAGAATTATCATGGATGAAGTATATAATCATACATGGACTACAATAAAGAATGGTTTAAATCGATGAAAAATGACCATCAAAATCTCGAACTTGTAGAAAACATTATACTAAAATTGAAAATGTTGGTTTATTTTTTATAATTTTATTATACAAATAATAACAAATCCAACCTTTTATTTTTTTGACAAGAAATACTTGTTGTATTACCTTTGATCTTTTCTTATGACAATAATCTTTTATTTATTTTTTCTTACAAGAAATGCTTGTCGTATTGCTTTTCTTTTTTCTTTTTTTTTTCTTTTTTTTTTTTCTTATTTAACAAGAACCTTTTTTTACAAGAAGTGCTTGTTGTAATACCTTTTTTTTTTTTTGAAAAGAAACTTCTATTTTTTTACAATAAACTTTTATTTTTTAACAAGAAAAAAAAAATTTGTTGTATTACCTCTTTCTTTCTTTTTTAACAAGAACCTTATATTTTTTTTTACAAGAAAATTTTGTACTTTTATTTTTTTTTGACAACAAAAAGAAATTTTGTTGTATCACTTCTTTTTTTGTTTCTGTTTTAATAAGACACATATTTTTTTTACAAAAAACTTTTATTTTTTGTTTAAAAAAATTATTTATTTTGTAAAAAAAAAAATATTGTTTGTTTGTAAGAGAATGATAGAACTTAGCTAAGAGTTGATCTCGCAACTTCCAAAGCAATAATTGATAGGCCACTTAATAATTATATTATATCTCTTTTTCATTTATTACCTTACCACAATTATCCCACATCGAACCCACAGAAAAAATCTTGTGATAATAAATACTATTCTGCTATCGTTATTATTCGTGTATGAAATGGATGCAATAGTATGGGACCTGTGATGAGGGACATGTGGCGTTTAACAATAAATGCTCATTTTAATCCAAAAAATAAAAATTACAAAAGTGCCCTCTGCAATTGTCATGCGTGTACATAACCGGGGAAACCAAGGCAAGGGCAAACCGGGGCGATTCATGACATCACCTCTATACAGTAAATCGCGTACAGTAAATCCCGGGGCGACGGCAAATCGGGGTGATTCATGACATCACCTCTGTACAGTAAATCGTGTACAGTAAATCATCGGGAGATTTTCAGTTTTACAAAAGATGTACAAAAATTACAAAAGTGCCCCCTACGATTGTCATGCATGTGCATAACCGGGCAAACCGAGGCGATTCATGATGTCACCTCTTTACAATAAATCGTCGGGATATTCTCAGTTTTACAAAAGATGTACACCTGAAGAACCGAAACGATTCATGACGTCGCCATGAGATTCTCATCTTTTGCAAAAGATGTACACCGGGTGAACCGAGGTGATTCATGACGTCGCCGGGAGATTCTCATCTTTTACAAAAGATGTACAGTGGGCGAACTAGATCTTTTGTACATGAGTGAACCGGGTCTTTTGTACACCGGGCGAACCTGGGCTACTCATGACGTCACCTCGGGCGAGTCGCCAGGAGATTCTCATCTTTTACAAAAGATGTACACCGGGCAAACCGAGTATTTTGTATACTGGGCGAATCGGGGCGATTCATGACGTCACCTCGGGCGAACCGGGGTGATTCATGACATCACCTCTATACAGTAAATCGCTGGGAGATTCTCAGTTTTACAAAAGATGTACACCGGGTGAACCGG